TTCAGCTATAGATCTGCAATATTTTCCTGGGTGGCCAAATCGCCAGCAATTCCTACACTGTTGCGGTGTAGGGATCACCTTCCGAACTTGTAACCAATGTCCTGCTACATAAACAGAGGATGGGAGTTCACAGACATCTAAAGTTAAATGAGCCACAATGCAAGGGTATCGTCTTTGCCCGCGGGCAGGAAGAACATAAGTGTCTACCTTGAGAATTGGGAGATCTTGGAGTTCCAGCTGTTCGAGAATGTCATTGCCACATGTCTGGAAATTCTGTTGGACTATGGTATGGGGCAGAATAACAGTACCACTACAAGAATTGAGGGAATGATGTTTTTCGATAGTGATAGGAATAGTATCGATATGTGAAAGAAGAGAAAGATCATGAGATTGGGTAGAATTCTGGACTGTGATGATGAGCGTACCACTCTAAAGAGCATGAAAGGAAATATTTTTACCAACGTGGCATAGGAGTGCTTTGCCAATACAGTGGACCCCCGCATACCGGACGCATCGCATACCGTACAATCCGCATACCGGACGCTTTGATCGCAAAAATTTTGCCTCGCATACCGCCCAAAAACCCGCTCACCGCCCTTCGTCCGAGACGCGTCCAATGTGCGGCCTGAGCCACGCTCACATGTTCCGCCGGTGGCATTGTTTACCAGCCAGCCTCCGCGGTAACATCCAAGCATACAATCGGAACATTTCGTATTATTACAGTGTTTTTGGTGATTTTTTCTGGAAAATAAGTGACCATGGTCCCCAAGAAGGCTTCTAGTGCCAACCCTACAGCAATAAGGGTGAGAATTACTATGGAGATGAAGAAAAAGATCATTGATAAAGTATGTAAAGTGGAGTGCATGTCTCCGAGCTGGCCAGGTTGTATAATAAACCCCAATCAACCATCGCTACTATTGGTGGTACAGTGCTGCTGTACCACCGTCAGCTGCTGCTGCACTGTCAGCTGCTGCTGCACTGTCAGCTGCTGCTGCACTGTCAGCTGCTGCTGCTGTACCACCGTCAGCTGCTGCTGCTGCTGTAGTACGTCTGCTGCTGCTGTAGCATCGTCTGCTGCTGCTGTAGCATCGTCTGCTGCTGCTGTAGCATCGTCTGCTGCTGCTGTTAGCATCGTCTGTTGCTGCTGTAGCATCGTCTGTTGCTGCTGTAGCATCGTCTGCTGCTGCTGTAGCATCGTCTGCTGCTGCTGTAGCATCGTCTGCTGCTGCTGTTGCATCGTCTGCTGCTGCTGTAGCATCGTCTGCTGCTGCTGTAGCATCGTCTGCTGCTGCTGTAGCATCGTCTGCTGCTGCTGTAGCATCGTCTGCTGCTGCTGTAGCATCGTCTGTTGCTGCTGTAGCATCGTCTGTTGCTGCTGTACCACCGTCAGCTGCTGCTGCTGCTGCAGCACCGTTGTTGGTGTGGCTTATTGAGAATACCAAGAGAAACAATTAACCCAGAGGATTTGCCACCCAGGATAACCCAAAAAAGTCAGTGTTCATCGAAGACTGTCTAACTTATTTCCATTGGGGTCCTTAATCTTGTCTCCCAGGATGCAACCCACACCAGTCGACTAACACCCAGGTGAACAGGGAAAATGCCTGGAACTAGTGCTCATATTGGTGAATTTAGAGCCAGCAAAGGTTGGTTTGAGAGATTTAAGAATCGTAGTGGCATACACAGTGTGATAAGGCATGTTCTGGAAGAAAATGCCAAACAGGACCTACAGTACTCAGGAGGAAAGGCACTCCCAGGACACAGTGTCTCATCAGTCATTGCTGCATCTTCAATAAAGGTAAGTGTCATTTATTCTTCATTTAGTAGAGTAGTACATGCACAATATATATTGTGCATGTACTACTCTAGTATTGTGCATGTATCCTTCTCTTTGTGTGTAGGAAAATGTATATTTCATGTGGTAAAAATTTTTTTTTCATACTTTTGGGTGTCTTGCATGGATTAATTTGATTTCCATTATTTCTTACGGGGAAAATTCATTCGCATACCGAACATTTCGCATAACAACCAGCCCTCTTGCACGGATTAAGGTCGCTATGTGGGGGTCCACTGTACTATGGTCAGAAAGATAGGCAGTAGACGAAGTCAGTCATAAAGTAAAGAATTTAGTCCATTGTGTGGTCCGAAACTGAGTGTGGAGAGGGAGTGCATGACGTATCGGTCTTTTCCAAGTAGAATGGGAAGGTAACGAAGTAACATCGTCAGGAGATTGTCATTGGCGTTAAGAAGTGGGACCAGAGTCGGTCCAACGTGAGACGGGCTGGAGATTCGAAAATCGTCGCACCATAGAGGGAGAGGCTGGAAGCGTAGTCAAAGGAGAGCGGAGGTCAGACAAATCGAAGGAGCCAGTGGAAGCCCCGGTACCTGAAGTGGGTGAGGAAACAGCACCAGCAAGAGGTACAGGGGCCTTAGGAGTGTCCAAAATACGAGGCGAGGTCAGAACAGGGTGCGGTAACAATAAGGGGCCCGGGAGTAGCAGGGTCATGGATTTGGGACTCCATGGTTAGGTTACTTCTTTCTTTTTGTTTTTAAGAAAAAAAGAAAGAAGAAAAGAAAATAAAAATAAAAAAAAAGAATAAAAAAAAGAGGGTACCGGGGAGGGATAGTTCCTAGGAGGAATGAAAGAGCCAGAAATCTCCCTCTGTGCCCAAGAGGACCTCAGCACCACAAGTAGTGCAGGTGCAGCATGGAACCCATGCCATACCCTACCCTTCATGCCAGTAAACCAGCAATCCAGGATAGCAACCTCACATCTGCCTAGCTACCTCGGTGGACAAAAGAGAGGGTGGCCGGATATCCGCCACAAAGCATACCTCCTTCAGCCACCACCCCTGGAATCCGAAAGGTGGCTTCCAGAGATACACCCGTCGCCCGAAAGACACCCAAAGCCACCCTCCGGGATACTGGAGAGGGATCGGGACATCCTCAGGCAATCCAGATTCCATGGCAAACTATGCCACTGCCAAGAACCTCAATGGAATGGGATGGACCCCAGTACCCTTCCCCCTACCTATGAACTAGTGTGCCTGTGGGAAAAATCCCAAAGGCCAAAAAGAGGACGGGCAAAATGGAGGGGTGGGGAGGAGGAGGAGGAAAGGAAAAAGGGGAGGATTGGATAGGGAAGGGGGAATTGTTGGGTAATTAGGTTCGGTCTGAGGAAGGGGACCAACAGGTCTAATTCCTCAGACCAAGAGCCTCTTTACCACGCCAAGGAGCCCCCCTTGAAGAGGACTGAGGGTAATAGTATAGCTGTCCACAGACTTCACTTCAGAATAAACCTCAAGCTGGTTCAAGAGTTTCTACAACAAAATTCTTTATCCAAGTGAGAATAAAGTGAAGTACTAGAGGGGAAGCTGAGTCAATGCACACTGAGTCAGCAGAGAGAGCGAACTGAACTAACACAGTTAATCCTTACATGACATCAACTTGCCAAAGGGGAGAGCAGACTAAACTACCCTCCAAGGACATACCTTGTTTCAACTCTTAGCCAGCTATTACCTTCCTATCTAACACATTACTCAAAATACACAAATATATATACACATCATACCCGGGTATATTCCTAAACCAGATAATATTATAAACTAGTGGAATTTTTAACTAATATTAAAGAAACCCCAAATATAATATTAAGTTGACAAAACATAAATTAATCTCATTATGACCTTGGTCATAACAATGACATATAACTCGCCTGTAAAAATACTAGCCAAGTCTAACATATGACCCCAAACATCATCATCAGGGACATTGCCATGAACCCAATGCCATCAGAAGATTTAAAACCAGATGTATAAATGCCAACGGCACAAGCATGAGACTAGAAGTGATCAAGAAAAAGAGAGCAAGAAACAGTTTTAGGTATGAGACCTTTAGCACACAGCAGTAGAGGAGAACAGACACAACTGTTGGAACTTCCCAAGAGGAAGGGGGAAAAGGGCGATGCTACATGAATATACAAGGTAGGGAACTGGAGAGAAGACCTGAGCAAGTGAAGATTAAGAGAAAACGGACAGAATAAGCAGAGGCACTGATCAAATAATGGACCACTACTAACCCTGGAGACCAACCTATACGTAGAAGGAAACCGAAGTTCATATGCACTGAAAAAATAATGACAGCAATAAGCATCCTCATAATCAGCTAAGGAAGGTACATTCGCCTCAGCATAGAGGCTTTCAACAGAGGATGAAAGGACCAAGGCATGAACATAAACATTGGTGATGAAGGGGATCTAGCTTAGAGTTGCAATATAAGCCACAAAATAGCATACCAGGCCATGGGCCTGGTAGGCTTCTATACTGAATGAACTCTCATGTGTAGTACTAGAATTATTTTTTTGTGAAGTCTTTTAACAGTGATATGGTTTTTCTTGTGAATGAAATATCATACATTATAATACATGTGATTTTTGTGAAAAATATTAGAAATACAGTGAACATTGATACGATTTATTTTGTGAATGGACTCTCGTGTGTCTTATTAGATCTGATTTAGAGAGAAAGTCTTTCAAACACTCTGAACACTGATATGGTTTTTCTTGTGAATGAACACTAAGATAAGATTTCGTTCGGATTTTTAACCCCGGAGGGTTAGCCACCCAGGATAACCCAAGAAAGTCAGTGCGTCGTCGTGGACTGTCTAACTTATTTCCATTGGGGTCCTTAATCTTGTCCCCCAGGATGCGACCCACACCAGTCGACTAACACCCAGGTACCTATTTGCTGCTAGGTGAACAGGACAACAGGTGTAAGGAAACGTGTCGAAATGTTTCCACCCGCCGGGAATCGAACCCGGGCCCTCCGTGTGTGAAGCGGGAGCTGTAGCCACCAGGCCACCGGGCCTGTTTTATTAAATGTGATTTTTGTGAAAAGTCTTTCAAACATTCTGAACACTGATATGGTTTTTCTTGTGAATGAACACTCATGTGTTCTATTAAATGTGATTTTTGTTTAGTCTTTCAAACACTCTGAACACTGATATGGTTTTTCTTGTGAATGAACTCTCATATGTTTTATTAAATGTGTTTTTTGTGAAAAGTCTTTCAAACACTCTGAACACTGATATGGTTTTTCTTGTGAATGAACTCTCATGTGTCTTATTAGATATGACTTACATGAAAAGTTTTTCAAACACTCTGAACACTGATATGGTTTTTCTTGCGAATGAACTCTCGTGTGTCTTATTAGATGTGATTTACTTGAAAAGTTTTTCAAACATTCTGAACACTGATATGGTTTTTCTTGTGAATGAACTCTCATGTGTCTTATTAGATATGATTTACATGAAAAGTCTTTCAAACACTCTGAACACTGATATGGTTTTTCTTGTGAATGAACACTCATATGTTTTATTAAATGTGATTTTTGTGAAAAGTCTTTCAAACACTCTGAACACTGATATGGTTTTTCTTGTGAATGAACACTCATGTGTTCTATTAAATGTGATTTTTGTTTAAAGTCTTTCAAACACTCTGAACACTGATATGGTTTTTCTTGTGAATGAACTCTCATATGTTTTATTAAATGTGTTTTTTGTGAAAAGTCTTTCAAACACTCTGAACACTGATATGGTTTTTCTTGTGAATGAACTCTCATGTGTCTTATTAGATATGACTTACATGAAAAGTTTTTCAAACACTCTGAACACTGATATGGTTTTTCTTGCGAATGAACTCTCGTGTGTCTTATTAGATGTGATTTACTTGAAAAGTTTTTCAAACATTCTGAACACTGATATGGTTTTTCTTGTGAATGAACTCTCATGTGTCTTATTAGATATGATTTACATGAAAAGTCTTTCAAACACTCTGAACACTGATATGGTTTTTCTTGTGAATGAACACTCATATGTTTTATTAAATGTGATTTTTGTGAAAAGTCTTTCAAACACTCTGAACACTGATATGGTTTTTCTTGTGAATGAACTCTCATGTGTCTTATTAGATATGACTTACATGAAAAGTCTTTCAAACACTCTGAACACTGATATGGTTTTTCTTGTGAATGAACTCTCATGTGTCTTATTAGATATGACTTACATGAAAAGTCTTTCAAACACTCTGAACACTGATATGGTTTTTCTTGTGAATGAACACTCATATGTTTTATTAAATGTGATTTTTGTGAAAAGTCTTTCAAACATTCTGAACACTGATATGATTTTTCTTGTGAATGAACACTCATATGTTTTATTAAATTTGGTTTTTCTGAAAAGTCTTTCAAACACTCTGAACACTGATATGGTTTTTCTTTTGAATGAACTCTCATGTGTCTTATTAGATGTGATTTACATGAAAAGTTTTTCAAACACTCTGAACACTGATAAGGTTTTTCTTTTGAATGAACTCTCATGTGTCTTATTAGATGTGATTTATATGAAAAGTTTCTCAAACACTCTGAACACTGATAAGTGTTATTACTTGAAGGAACTTTCATACACTGCATTTTGTTACTTACCTGTCAAGTCACTTTAATAATGAATACAGCTGTTATATATTTTGCTTATCAAACTCTTGCATATTACATGTTATTTAAAAGTTCTCCTAAAATGATACTGTAGAAAAGGTCATTTATACATATTGTTTTCTTATACATGATTAATGTCTCTTGATTATTGTTCAAATTACCTAATGTGTAGAATTTGTTTTAAAGAACATTATTTAATTATACAGTGGACCCCTGGTTAATGATATTTTTTCACTCCAGAAGTATGTTCAGGTGCCAGTACTGACCGAATTTGTTCCCATAAGGAATATTGTGAAGTAGATTAGTCCATTTCAGAACCCCAAACATACACGTACAAACGCACTTACATAAATACACTTACATAATTGGTCGCATTTGGAGGTGATCGTTATGCGTGGGTCCACTGTACTTAAATTAAACATTATTTACCAACTTATATTGTAAATATGAACCTGACATCTTTTTTTTTTTACAATTAATATCCAAAAACTTAATATAAACTCTAAATAAATGGAAAAATAATCAATGTATTGGTACAAGTCTAAATAATTCATTGAATATATTATAAGTGTTTTATTACTTTATATAAACTGTAAATAATAAAGTAATCAAAATATTCTTTCTCAGTAATACTGTTATCTCTTTTAATTTGTATGAGTAAACTACATCAACATGAGTAGATTCATCAGCTATCACACACACCATGAGATAATACATTAAAACAGCATACAACATTAACATGATAGTATGCAATACCAGCTGGACACATCATTGATAAATATATAAATAACAGCACATATCAAAAATGTATACATTAACAGTAGCACACACCTTTAATATCTGCATATTATACATCATAGCAGTGTTCACTACTACCATTTTTAATTCACAGATGCCTCAAATATGCCGAGCAACAAGTTTTGTCTAGACATAAGAAAATGTGTTTGTGTGGAGAGTGTGCACAGAATAAAAATAATCCTGCCACACAGGGCATTATGGTAACAGCTAAACTTTATCTCTGTGTTTCAATTAAAATAAAAATTTTAGGCCATTTTTGGTTTGTTTTAGGCTATAGCACCAATAGAAAAACTACAAAATTACTTGAATCAGGAAGAAAAAAATGGGAGAAATAGACCTTAAAAATGACAGAAATTATTATTTTAGGCAATTATGATAAAAGAAAAATAAAGCACTGAATTTTTGTGTGTAATGAAGGATTATAATGAAAGTCAAGTGTTGTATATGAGAAGCCTGGAGGTATTATTATTGATAAAGTGGAAAGGTACTTTAGAGGCAAAAACCCCTGCAGTGCTTTTAAACCAAAATTTGTTTTAAATTTTGTAAAATTGGCAAAATTCCAAATTCAGAGTCCTTAAGAGGCTAACTTTTAACAGTCAAATGAACAAATTTTTGCAATAAATTTATAGTGAGGAAGATATACTATCAAAATATCTGAGCACTGAAACTGGTCTAAAAGAAGCAACAAATTAATGAAATTCCTGTTATTTTGCCCAACTTCTAGCCTGTATAACTTGATTTTTCTGGCATCATTATTACCTTATGATAAGATTCTTTATGCTTTCAGATGACAAAATAATTGTAATAATTTGAAAAATGTATTGACACTGAAGGTGTTTCAATATGAGGGATGTAGACAGTTTACGTGTTAACTATAGAACACTTCTGAGGAAGGTAAACTTAAAGATAATAATAAAAACACTACTGAAATATATGTAGGAAAATATAATAAAAAATATTTTCTATGTTGTCAGTAAGTTAATAAAGACATCTACCAATAATGAGGAAGATGGAAGGAAAATGTGAAGATAAAATACTTGAAGTAGAGAGGACAATATAGATGATATAATATCTTACCCACAGTCATTAATGGAAGATAAAATACTTGAAGTAGAGAGGACAAAATAGATGATATAATATCTTACCCACAGTCATTAATGGAAGATAAAATACTTGAAGTAGAGAGGACATATAGATGATATAATATCTTACCCACAGTCATTAATGGAAGATAAAATACTTGAAGTAGAGAGGACAATATAGATGATATAATATCTTACCCACAGTCATTAATGGAAGATAAAATATTGAAGTAAGAGGACAATATAGATGATATAATATCTTACCTACAGTCATTAATGGAAGATAAAATACTTGAAGTAGAGAGGACAAAATAGATGATATAATATCTTACCCACAGTCATTAATGGAAGATAAAATACTTGAAGTAGAGAGGACAAAATAGATGATATAATATCTTACCCACAGTCATTAATGGAAGATAAAATATTTGAAGTAGAGAGGACAATAAGATGATATAATATCTTACCCACAGTCATTAATGGAAGATAAAATACTTGAAGTAGAGAGGACAATATAGATGATATAATATCTTACCCACAGTCATTAATGGAAGATAAAATACTTGAAGTAGAGAGGACAATATAGATGATATAATATCTTACCCACAGTCATTAATGGAAGATAAAATACTTGAAGTAGAGAGGACAATATAGATGATATAATATCTTACCCACAGTCATTAATGGTAGAAATTAACAGATGATATATTACAATATTTTTCCAGCAGTCAATAAATATAATTCCTAAACCTTATAGTTCTGTGTACTATATTTACAAAAACTGTTATCATAACATATTTAGTTGCCTTTGTTATTACTTCATAATGGTTGATAAATTACTGACTTTTTAGACTATAAAAAATATATTACAAAATAATTTACAGAATTAATAAAACTCAATACTTAGATTTTATAAAGACAATAAACAAATATTTATGTAAGCTATTAAGCTGTTAAGAGGTAATAAATTTTAGTGTAAAACATGTTGATAAAACATGTACGGTGTTATATTAACATCAGTACAGTATTATAGTAAGTTGACTTATGTTCACTGGTTGTTGAAGGTGTAGTTGTAATTGTCAGAATAATGTGGTCACCTTAAAGTCTGGACATTCAAGAAGAATTCACAACAATGTAGTCACTATTACCACATTGTTGACACAGTTTCTCCAGTATATCTGCCACTTATAACACTTTCATTGTACTGGATGATGACACTAAGTATAATTCTTGTGTTTAGATGAACTGCAAAAGAAAAGATAACAAAATTAATCAACAACTGTAAATTTAACAAATATGATCTTATTATAAATGATGTAATGTTTTCTCAGCTGGTTTTCAACCAAATGTAAAGATGAGTAACAGTAAGTGCAACAGCTGGTTATGTAGTTTTTTAATAAACCAGCTGTATTCTACCAAAGCAGGTGACCTAAAAAGAAAAACAAAGTTTTTCTTTTTAACCCTTTCACTGTTTTGGTCATATATATATGTCTTATGAGCCACCATGTTTGACATGCATACTCAAAAGTTCTAGCAGTTTCAAATCAAGCAGAAGAAAACTGGTAGGCCCACATGTGAGAGAATGGGTCTGTGTGGTCAGTGTGCACCATATAAAAAAATCCTGCAGCACACAGTGCATGAGAAAAAAAAACAAATTCCGACAGTGTTTCTGGATTATTATTATAATAAAAAAGAAGCACTAAGCCACAAGGGCTATACAGCACTGCAGGGCAGGAAGGAAGCAAGGGCATCTGGTGGCAAAAGAGAGATGGATGAGTAATAGGTTATGGATAACAGTGGGGCAGTGGATGGTGAAAGGGTAAAGGGCAGCAAGAGACTGAGCTAGAAAGGGCTAATGGGAGTGCGAAAGGCATCATCATCAGAGTTTGTGGAGTAAATCAGTCATTGTCAAGAAGTCAATGAGAGAGTCAGGATTAAAGGAGGGTCCATCAGCAAGAAGGGAAGGTAAAGAGAGAGTAGTAGAACGAAGATGACGTTGGAGGTAAATTCTGCGTGCTCGTTGATAGAGAGGCAAGTCTAACAGAATGTGGTTAATCAATACTGGAACTTGACACTGCTCACAGAGAGGAACAGGGTGCCTCTCCATGAGATACCCATGAGTAAGACGAGTGTGGCCAATGTAAAGGCGGAAGAGAGAGGTCTCCCAACCTCGGCAATGATGACAAGAAGACGGCCAGTAACCTATGCTCGGTTTAATAGAATGAAGTTTGTTACCAAGCAGAGTTGACCAACGTTGTTGCCAATGGGTGTGAAGGTGGGTAGCTATTGTAGCAAAATAGTCCAGAAATGGAACACCTCTATACTAATACAAATGCCGGAAAAAAAATCCCCCCCAGTACCAACAATACCACCAGTCCGATAACATTCTTCTTTGCAAATATACAGGGTCTAAAGCCAGCAACAAACAACAAAATACCTTTCATCCGTGGACTGCTTGCAGAGGCAAAGGCAATGTTCGCGGCTTTCACTGAGACCCACATAAAGGATCACCTGGACAACGAAATATGGATCCCAGGTTACAACCTATACAGAAGTGACAGAGTGAACAGGCAAAAGGAAGGGGGGGTTGGCCTGTACATTGCAGAGTCACTTGTTTGCACAGAACTGCTAAATGCTTCAAATGATGTAGTGGAAGTTTTAGCAGTAAAGGTCGAGAACCAAAACCTAGTCATTGTGGTAGTCTACAAGCCTCCGGATGCAACATCCCAGCAATTCCAGGAACAGCTGTTAAAAATTGACCACTGTCTGGAAAACCTTTCAGCTCCTGCACCCAACATCTTGCTCCTGGGGGATTTCAACTTAAGGCACCTAAAATGGAGGAATATAGCAAATAATATTGTTGCAGTAATAACACCAGGAGGCAGCTCTGATGAAAACTCACACTCACGCGAGCTTTTAAATCTCTGCACAAAATTCAATTTAAACCAGCAAATAATAGAGCCTACTAGACTGGAGAAATTGCCGACCTAGAAAATGTACAGAGAACTTTCACGGCACACATAACGGAGATAAAACACCTCAATTACTGAGAGCGCTTGAGGTTTCTAAACCTGTATTCCCTGGAATGCAGGAGGGAGAGATACATGATTATATACACCTGGAAAATCCTAGAGGGACTAGTACCGAACTTGCACACGAAAATCACTCACTACGAAAGCAAAAGACTTGGCAGACGATGCACCATCCCCCCAATGAAAAGCAGGGGGCCACCACCCCCGGAATCCGAAAGGTGGCTTCCAGAGATACACTCGTCGCCTGAAAGACACCCAAAGCTACTCCGGGATACCGGAGAGGGATCGGGACATCCCCAGGCGATCCAGATTCCACGGCAAACTACGCCACCGCTAAGAACCTCAACGGAATGGGATGGACCCCGGTATCCTTTCCCCTACCTAGGAACTAGCGCGCCTGTGGGAGAAATCCCAAAGGACAAAAAGAGGAAGGGCAAAAGGGAGGGGTGGGGAGGAGGAGGAGGAAAGGAAAAAGGGGAGGATGGGGAGGATGGGATAGTGGAGGGGAGATTGGGGGGTAATTAGGTTCGGTCTGAGGAAGAAGACCGATAGGTCTAATTCCTCAGACCAAGAGCCTCTTCACCACGCCAAGGAGCCCCCCTTGAAGAGGACCGCAGGCAACAACCCCTCATCTTTGCAGCGGTAAAGAACCTGCGTTCCTGTCATCTGGACAGACAATTCAAGGCTATAGACTCTGCGAAGAACTAGTCGTAGGGTTGTCACTCAACACCTGTGACCCCCCCCTATCATCAGCAATGGCTATGATTTCTACAAGACGGTGTCAACCTCAACCAGACACCCCAGTTTAACTGTACATATTAGCGTTGAATTCAAATGTCATTTTTTCATTTTATTTTTCATTTCTCTTTCAAGTAGGACAAAACTTCATATTTATATATTTTATATTTTCATTCGTAAATAATAAAATGTTTATGTCTGTCTGTTTTTTACTCTTTTTCTATTCATTAATTTTCTTGAGGAGGAGCCAGCCTTGGTAATATTTACTGAAGTTGTTATAGAGCTGAGAAAGCCTTCACAAGTGGCGATCTTGCCAGGATAACTCAACTGAATCAAGATTCGACTCCATGTCGAATCTACCATTGGAACTTCAACGCCACATACCACAGAGGGTTACCACCAGCCATGAGTAATCATTCTCTATGGTAGGACTACAGTACAGGTATTTAAAAGATTTGGTGATTGTTATAGTCTCAATTTATTGTAAGTCAAGTCAAGGCAGGATATACTAGTTAATTCTGTCACCTTTCTTTTTGAGCTTGAAACAATTTGGAAGAATAAGCTCTAGAGACCCGAGATTTTCCAGTGACAAGTTGTTTCATTGAGTTCTATTTATTATATCAAGGGAACTGTTGTAGGACACTCTTGATTTGTCGGTGAGAAGATTGGATGGTCAAGGGAACCCATCAACTTACTGTTTGGTCAGAGCTGGCATAGAACCCTCCGATTTCATTCATACATACTGTTTAATTGAAGCAGGGGTCGAGCCCTCCAATTCACAGTTTGAGCGGAGCAGGAATTGAACCCTCCATTTTCTTTGATACATCCGTTTCATTTTCCCCTGGTAGTTTAAGTTATTCCTGCAAGCATGGAGGAATACCAGTTTTGGATGAATGCTGGGAGTAAGTTAGGAATAACAGGGAAAAATTTAGAAGCTTTCATAAGTGCTAAGATCCAGGAAAGAATTGAAAGAGAAAGATTTGAGAGAGAAGACAGTTAGAAAGAGAAAGAGAGTAGAAAAAGGAGAGAGATAGAATAGAGAGAACCAAGACAGTTAGAAAGAGAAAAAGAGGAGAAAAAGGAGAGAATAGAGAGAACCAAGAAAGACAGAAAGAGAGGAGAAAAAGGAGAGAGAGAGAGAATAGAAAGAGAGGAGAAAAAGGAGAGAGAGAATAGAGAGGAGAAAAAGGAGAGAGATCGAATTGAAAGAGAAAATCAAGAGAGAGAGAAGACAAAAAGAGCGCAATAGACTTGCTCGTGAGGAGAGAGCTAAAGTACATGAGAAACAAGCTAAAGTATGTGAGGAACAAGCTAAAATACATGGGGAACAAGTTAAATTAAGAGAACTTGAGGAAA